GCGATCGATTTGTGGCATCTATGTTCTCCATTGCCACAAAATGTTCGATTGTGGTGGATACAAGTCGCAGTACATAGGTGGTCACAAGGAGAAATTCGTGAGGTATGTTGTCGAATTTCGATTTCTGCTTAATTTCTTCATCCATTCGAGATAGTTAACATTCCATGGAGCTCGCAGGTTGGATGAGTTGGATTCAAATTTGTCAGCATCCTCTGAATCAAGCAAGATGAAGAAATGCCGATTCAACCTAGAAAGCCTCCCACTGCCATTCATTAGCCGATCGAATCCTCGAAACGCGTCGCAATCGTTCCGTAGGGGAGTACAAATGAGCTCTGACGGAATTATAACCCTAGGCCGCTCGCTCCACTCTAGCGTGTCCAAAGTCATTTTCCCTGAGGACCTGAAAGTGTCAGAGCAGAAAATCTTCGATCCGCAGGACAAATCGCTTCTCTTCTGGAACAAGCTATTCGTCCTGTGCTGTATCCTCGCCGTCTCCATCGATCCTCTGTTCTTCTACCTCCCTGTGTTCAACCACGCCTCTTACTGCCTCGGAATGGACACTCAGCTTGCCGTCACGACCACCACCGCCCGTACGGCCGTCGACCTGTTCTACTTGATTCGGATGGCGTTCCAGTTCCGGACGGCTTACATTGCGCCATCTTCAAGGGTGTTTGGCCGCGGCGAACTTGTGATCGATCCGGCAGAGATCGCCAAGCGGTATCTTCAGCGCTATTTCATTGCCGATTTCCTCGCTGTTCTTCCTTTTCCTCAGGTTTGTGTTTCACAATTTTTGTTCGGGCTTAGAACTATAATTATTAAAAACAAAATAAAGATTAATTTACCAAACTAGTTTTATAATGTTGATTAATACATAAACTTCTAACCAAAATATTATAAATTCGAACGGTTTGACTTGTGTTGATCACAGGTTGTGGTGTGGAGATTTCTTCACAGGTCAAAAGGTTCAGAGGTGTTGGCAACAAAACAAGCATTGTTAAACATAGTGTTTCTTCAGTACATTCCCAGATTTGTTAGGTTTATACCTTTGAACATAGAACTTAAGAAGACCGCAGGTGTTTTTGCTGAAAGCGCCTGGGCTGGTGCTGCTTACTATCTCCTCTTGTACATGCTTGCCAGTCATGTAAGCCTCCTCTCTCTTTCTAATCTCATTACTTTTCATAATACTTTTTATAATGTTTAATGCTTTTTAACTGAAAGTTTAGTGAATTTATTAGGAGCAACATTATATTATCATGTTTTAGCTCTTCTAAATTAAAGATAGTACATTATTTTAACTATTAAATGTATGTATATTTTACCATAGTATAGCTATTCAAAAACGCTACAAAAAGTCTTAGATTTTTAATAATGGCGGTTGTCAGTGTTAGGAATCACCGATCTTTAGAATGATATGATATTATCCACTTTGAGCATAAGCTATTATGGCTTTACTTGAGCTTCCCCAAAAGGTTTCATACCAATAGGAATGTATTCAACAATCCTCAACAAGCCTCCCATCGAACAAAGTACTCTATAGAGTCTTTTTCTTGAGGTCTATGGAGCCCTCGAATAGTCCCTCTTAATCGAGGCTCGACTCCTTTGGAGTCCTTGAACAAAATACATCGTTTGTTCGACACTTTAGTTACTTTTGACTACACCTTCGAAGCTCACAACTTCTTTGTTCGACATTTGAGTACTCACCCAGCTAAGTTAGAGGTATGACTCTGATATCATGTTAGGAATTACAGATCTCTACAATAGTATGATATTAACTTATCGTATAAGATTATACGGTGGTGTGAACCGTTAGAAGAAGTTGAGAATTAGTTGAATAGTAGATTTGAAGGAGGGTTTAATTGAGAATTTTGAATACATTAAAGATAGCGGGAGCGTTCTGGTACTTGCTGGCAGTGGAGAGGAACGATGCATGTTGGAGACAAGCGTGCAGAAGCAGTGGGAAGTGCAACATAAACTTTCTGTACTGCGGAAATAAGCACATGTCTGGGTATAAGGAGTGGAAAGTTATCAGTGTTGGTATTCTCAGAAGGAAATGCACAGCCATTGGAGATAATTTGCCATTCAACTATGGCATTTACACACAGGCTATTGCCTCTGGCATTGTTCAGTCCAGGACTTTCTTCTCCAAGTTCTGCTACTGCTTGTGGTGGGGCTTGCAAAATTTGAGGTCCCCTTTCTTCCTTATTCCCTTCACTTTTTTTTTTCATTTCTTTCGTAATACAATAATTTTATGTTGAGTTTTTAATAAAAACAATAATATTAAATAAAGAATGAGGAATGAGAAATCTACATGTGGTGACTTATTCCCAGAAGGGATTTCTCGACCTTGATCCCGATTCCTTGTAATGGAAAATGGAATAGGGACGAGGAGAAAAAATTAAGAGTGCATCACTGATCTTGTCTTACTATGTCGGTTTAAAATTGGTTAAGTAATATAATTTATGTTTTGATTCGGTAAATATATTATTTACCAAATTCACACACGTTCATCATTTTAATCCTCAAATTATACAAACCTTAAACACTTAAAATGCAAAATCTCCCAATTAGTGTTAAAATTCATGTGTTTGACCATTGAATAGTTGACTGTTCAACAGTACGCTTGGCCAGGGACTGCTCACCAGTACCTATCCAGGGGAGGTTATCTTTTCCATACTAATTGCAATTTCTGGGCTCATCCTTTTTGCACTCTTGATTGGAAACATGCAAGTAAGACTTTTACATCCCTTACCTTTCTTTTTCAGGCACAAAACCCCTGCTTACAAGGTTTCAATCATGAACTAAAATGTATTTTAGGGCGATTATAAGTACTTTTCTAATATTTCATGTTGTTTGATTTCTTGTGATTATAAATACGAGATATGCTTTTCATGTATATACTTCGTAAAATGGTGTGTTAGATGATTATATATCATTTTGCACGATGTTTAAAAAAAAAAAGTGTGTATAGCTTGAAATTAGCTAATTTTCACTGTTCGAAGTAAACAAAGTCACATAGAATATCTGAAATAGTTATTGATTGTCTTTCAACAGACGTATCTTCAATCTCTAACAGTTCGCCTTGAGGAGATGCGCATCAAAAGGCGAGACTCGGAGCAGTGGATGCACCATCGGTTGCTTCCACCGGACTTGAGAGAAAAAGTTAGGCGCTATGATCAATACAAATGGCTTGAAACTAGAGGAGTGGATGAAGAGAGCTTGGTTCAAAGTCTTCCAAAGGACCTTAGGAGAGACATTAAACGCCATCTCTGTCTCAATTTGGTTAGAAGGGTATGTAATTCTTCTTTCTAAATTTGGTTTGAAGAGACATTAAAATTTGAATGTGTTGGACACTGCACATAGGTCCCTTTGTTTGCGAACATGGACGAACGACTTCTAGACGCAATATGCGAGAGGCTAAAGCCAACACTATACACACAGAACACATACATAGTCCGAGAAGGCGACCCAGTTGACGAAATGCTATTCATAATCCGTGGCCGCCTCGAGAGCGTCACGACCGACGGCGGTCGGAGTGGCTTCTTCAACCGTGGCGTTTTGAAAGAAGGCGACTTCTGCGGTGAGGAGCTGCTGACATGGGCTCTGGACCCCAAGTCCGGCGCCAATCTCCCATCCTCCACTCGCACTGTTCATGCCCTCACGGAGGTTGAAGCCTTCGCCTTGGAGGCGGAAGAGCTCAAGTTCGTGGCCAGCCAGTTCCGACGTCTGCACAGTCGGCAGGTCCAACACACGTTCAGATTCTACTCGCAGCAGTGGCGCACATGGGCGTCTTGTTTTATACAAGCGGCGTGGCGTCGGTATTTGAAGAGGAAGATAGCGGAGCTGCGGCGGAAGGAGGAGGAAGAGGAGGATGCAGCGGCGGCTGCGGCGGCATATGCGTCGACGAGGCTTGGGGCGACGATTTTGGCGTCGAGATTTGCAGCGAATGCGCTTAGAGGGCATCGAATGAGGAATTTGAGTGGGAGGACCTTGATTAACTTGCAGAAGCCTGCAGAGCCTGATTTTTCTGTGTATAAAGGAGAGTAAAGTAAACAAACAACAGATTTCAGAAATTATTGTTGTCCACTGTGTGAATCTGAACCCAAATTTTAACCAATGAGATAAAAAACTCTTTGTTTTTCATGGTTTTATTAGAAATATATAGATTTTCAAATTTACAGTGGCTCAGTTATATAGAGCCATACAACAATGATGATCTTTAATCCTTTAATTTGTTTCTCCCAATTGCTATAATACATATTTTTTTAGTTTCTTTTTCTAAAATGGGACAAATTTCGATCCAAAAAAACTTCAAACAAATCAAGCAAAATGTTCCAAAACATCGTCCCAAAGGCGTTGGACAAATATGTTAGTGTATGCATGTATGGAGAAGTCATCTTTGTAGCTTTGACATAAATGAAACTTTGTGGTTTTGATGCTTTACGTTATGTCGAGATAAATGTTTTCTCCCAACATATAATACGTTAGCATAGCTCTAAGATATTTCAACACTTTGCAATGTGTTACGATAAGTGCTCGAATGTTGATGCATAATACATCACTATAACTTCATTATATATATATAATTTTAGATTATAACAATTTAATCCTAAATTTTTAATTTTGTTATAATTTAGTCTTATCATTTTAATTTAATTATATTTTAGTTTAGAATCATTAGGAAATGAGATTATACAATAAAATAAAAAAAAATGGATATTAATTTTGATGAAATTATAAATTAAGTGGCTAGAAATTTAGGGACTAAATTGTAATTTGATCAAAAATGTTTTTTTTAATACTAAAATCAAGATTTATTTTTGAAAAAACATTTTAAGTACTAATATTGATATATTTAGAATATTTGAATTTGTTATCTTTAGTGGACTCGTGTCTTGGTTAGTTTTCTTTACGTAACAAAGCGGTGATATTTTCAGGTGCAGACGGTTTTGTCTTCCATTTCGATTTAGTTCGATTCTGTTTCACCATTTTCTTCTCTGTGTTTCTTAGATACTGTTGATATCGATTTTCTCAAGGTTCCATACACAGCAGGAAAAATGAGTAAAGAGCGAGCCAAGAAACCAACCTTCTTGACGCTAACTGAAAATCAAAAGCTTTTTCTCTCCCTAATTAACGAATACGCGGCCGAAAAAATGCAAGGAGGTATTTCTATGTAACACTTAATGTTAATTCCCTAGAAAATGTTCTGATCGAAATGCTAGCACTTCTTTTACTGTATTTCGATCAGATTTGTTTCAGAAAGGTAATCGTCTGGTTCAATTTTCGCGATTGTGGCAGAGTTTATGTGGATATGGAGGTTTTTCTATGCAAGAACAGTGTTAAGAAGTACAATGCTAGCGTTTTTTTTTTTTTTTTTTTAC